GAGTCTCCTGCCTCAGCCTCCCAAGTAGCTGGGACCACAGGCGCCTGCCACAACGCCTGGCCATTTTTTGGTTGCAGCCGTCATTGTTGTTTGGCGGGCCGGGCTGGGGATTCGAACCCGCCACCTTAGGTGTATGTGGCTGCCGCCTTAGCCGCTTGAGCCACAGGCGCTGAGCCATGGTTGTTACCTTTTGTGTATCTTATTCCGAGGAAATAAACTTTTTTTTCTTTTGGACAACCAATGAAATCAGAGACCCAGAGGAAATAAACTTTTTTTTTTTTTTTTGAAGATAGAGTCTCATTTTGTTGCCCTTGGTAGAGTGCTGTGGCGTCATAGCCTACAGCAACCGCAAACACTTCAACTCAAGTGATTCTCTTGCCTCAGCCACCCAAGTAGCTGGGACTATAGGTGGGTGCCCAATGCTCAGCCATTTTTAGAGATGGGGGTCTCACTCTTGCTCAGGCTGGTCTCGAACCCGTGAGCTCAGGCAATCCACCCACCTTGGCCTCCCTGAGTGCTAGGATTACAGGCGTGAGCCACTGCGCCTGGCCTAGGAAATAAACTTTTATTCAATATCATTAGCACACTGCTTACCACAGGAAGGCATTTAAAATATAATGCCTAAAAAATGCAATTTTCAAAGTAGCAGTTACAGCAAAAAAATTTCTTCTTGGTACATAATCAGTACCCAGAGGGGATAAATACAATTCTATATCAGTCAAGCCATTTACTGGTATTGTGCTATCTCAATTTATGAACCCTTCTTATATCTCACTTTTCTCATCTGTTAAAAAAAAAATAGATACCAATACACAGCCCATAGGCATATCAAATTAGGTAAGATGAAGTGCTTAGCACAGTATGTTGTATATAAGTTGACCAACAGCCACTAATATTAGCTATACATTTTTATTATATTAAAATGACTCATAGCAGGCCATAGTGTCATGCTACTCAGGAGGCTGAGGTGGGAGGATCGCTTGAACCCAGGAGTTCAAGCCTTCAAATGAACTATGATTACAATCGTACCACTGTACTCCAGCCTGGGCAACAGAGCATCTCTAAAAAATAAAAATAGGTGTCAGTCTGCCCTTCCTGGAGGGCCAGGCTGGGGGCTGACCAAAACACTACTGCAGTCTGCCACTTTAAAATAGCCTACTTGCCCTGGCAATGGAGGTCTATTCACTGTCTATGGCTAATCTATCTTGCTCTATAAGTCTGTATCTTACTCTTACTCTGTAAACCTACCTTTCTCTTTCCCAATAAATTTTGTTTCATGCTTCCCTTAAAAAATAGCCCAGAAGGCTCCAGAGGGAAACTACTCCCTGACAATCATCAAATACAAATACATTACTGATATCATTCTGTCTGTAAGATTTCCTTAATTTTCCACTGAAAGTATTGATTGACTCAATAAATGCAAGTTTAGGAATGTGAAGTCAAGACATTGAACTTTATTTTTTTTTTTTTTTTGGAAAAGAGCCTCAAGCTGTCCCCCTGGGTAGAGTGCCATGGCATCACAGCTCACAGCAACCTCCAACCCCTGGGCTCAAGCGAGTCTCCTG